TATCTTTGCTCTTTGTGGCGCATTTTTTGCAACATTGTTCTCCATGTTTCCTTGTCCCTCTTGGCGTTTCACTGTGAGTTCTCGCCTCTCTGTTTACAAGCGTCTTTCGGTTATTTTCAACTTTACTTTGAAGCCTTGTTTCCTGTAATTTCACTTGTGTGCCTCAGTTTTACTCCTACCTCATGTTTACCCTGATTGAGCTCACCTGTGTAATCCCTTTCACTTAATCCTCATCACCCCCTTGTGTGTAATTCCCTGATTACCTTCTGTCAGCCTCTGTCCTTTGTCACGTCATACGCCGGCCCGTCTCTGCTTTGTTGTTGTTCCTGGTTAAACTCCACAGTTTTTATCACTTTTGTGTTTCGATGGTGTGTGTTCTGTCTCTTTGCTGGAGTTTGATTTGTGGACTTTAAAACTGCTCACTTTTTATTAGTTGAAGTCTGCCTCTGCATGACTGCATTTGGGATCTCACCTACACACTCCAACATGACAGTCGTGGTCTTATCACAGCCTGCATCAGATAAAAATAGACAAAGTTGAGTTTGATTTTATATTCAAATGACCAAGAATGAAACGTGATATGTTTTCGAAGCCGTTTTGTTGAGTTTTCTTGAACGATGAAGACATTTTAACAATAAAAACATTTTACAGCCACACCATAAAGTTTTAGCTCAGGGCTATACAGTTATCATTAAACGGCATGATTCAACTGTGGACCGCTTTAACCAACAAATAACACATCATTCATTATTTGATCTCTTCTAAGGCAGGTTCTGATTTATTATAGATGCAGCGTTTAAAGTGAAATGTTTGATTTATGCATCCTAAAATTAAAAATTTCCTAACACCCTTTGATTTTCCAAAGTATGTGCACCTTGTTTCTTCATTCCTCAACGTCAACGTCATTGTTGGCAGAAGAGCTTGCTGTTTGGACCCTGATTGGCCCTCGCTCTCAAGGCATTGCTGTAATGATAGTTATTAAGCAGCCCCTGTCTTAAATAATCAACATTCTGACAAAGACTCCTGCACAAGTCAGGCATAACCACCTGCTATTAAGTGCGAGCTTGTCATGCTGAAAGACCTTTATTGAAAATATAAATATAAATTCTGGGTTACAGCTCTGAGAATCTCTGAGGAACCTAAGACGAGGAGCTCCAGGAACAGCTACCGAATGGAGGCAGGGGCAGAATGACAACCAGTTTAGAAAGGCAGTCATAAATCTCAGACGATCATAGTGCAGGTGTTCACAGGTGCACTGCACACAGCAAGACTGGCACCGGCAGACACAGACCCCTTTAACAAGCACAGGCATTAAATACCTGGAACCGTGGCAGTGACGTAACACTGTTTATAGGAACAACACCATGAAACAGTTCGTTAATGCTCCAGTGATCTGTGAGCTGCTCTTGGCTTGTAAAGGTTGAAACGGGCCGTCATGCATTTTCTCTTTGAATATGCATCGTTTGATTTAAGGTTAGTTTCGAGATTATGTCACGTAAAGTGAAAACTGAAGCCAATAAACAGCATGAAATCATTTTTTATTGTGCATTTTGCTAATACACGCCATCTGCTATAGGTAAAAATCCCAAAATCCCATTATCCTGGCTGCAAAAAAGTTTGAAGCAAAAATAATAGAAAGGCAACACCTAACAGTTTGTAAATACTGCCATATGTAAGTATGGGCATATTTACAAGAGACAGTAGCATGCTATGCTATCAGCTGAGGCTAACAAGCTCAGTTAAAAAGTACATCCATAAACAGTAAGGCTACAGTGCACAGAGTTAATTAGAGCTAGCTGATAGAATGGACTAATAGAAAACTAGGAGAGATGATGGCTGCTAGACAGCTGCCAGTGTCAGCATCGTTGTCAATCAACACACTGCTAACTTTCAGCCTGCAGATGAAATTAATATGAGACTGTAGTCGGAACTGACTCACTCTTCAGGTGGTCACTTGAGGAACTTGGCTTCATGTTTGAACCCCAGAGATGCTACTTGGTTAAAATGTTTCCCAAAAATGTGAAAAACGGAGCTCAATGATGTGGACATATTCTGCTTTTGTTTGATCATTTTTCACAAGCAAATCAGTTTAGAAATGATGTTAGTAATGACTAATAAGCAGTGTTTGTCAATAAACTTGAAAATAGTAATTAATTACTAATTACTGATTACTTCCTTAAGACAGTAATCATGTTACTTTACTGATTACATATTTTCAAAGGTAATTAGTTACTTAGTTACTTAGTTACTTTCTAAAAACTTGATACACAAACTGAATAAGTAATAAAGCAGCAGATCTTTCAGCCCAATTCTATTTTTTTCTGCATAATCCATCATATAAAACTTAATCAAATGAAAAAGTCTGTTTTTAAAACTTGTTTTATTAGTTTTAATCTTTAGTTTCATGCACATTGCATCAAGCAAAAATTTAATTATATGCAGCAGTCTCTGACTGGAAGAAATGTGTTTAACATTTAAACCGTTTCTGCATATTCCAGCTTATAAAATAAAATAAAGTTCTGTGTTTACACTCTTTCAAATAGATGCAAGTAAAACAGCAAAAAATAAATAAAAGATTCAGCAGCACTGAGTCCTGTCGCTCTTAAATCTGTTGTCACCTGTTTAGCAGGAGTGGGGCGGGTGGAGGTTTGCCCGGTGCCACAGTGGTCATGTCAGTGGGAGGATCCGGGGGTTTCTCAGTGAATGTCACATTCCCGTGGCAGCGTGCTCGGTGCTCGCTCAGATTTGAAGTTTAAGTTTTCACGGTAGAAAGATATTTTCTTCCCACACAGAGTGAACAGCAGACGCTAATGTTTTTGTAATTTTTTACAAAATCAAACTCAAAGTAATGTGAGTACTTCCAAGCTTTAAACGCTGCACGGTCGTACTCTCTCCCGCTCTCCATATTATTCATCGTTGATCTGCACACGTCTGTTGCTGCCACGGACGTCACACGCTCGTACGTCATTGTCATGAGACACTCTTGCAAACAAAATCACGGTTTAGTAACGTAGCGTGCTTATGGGAAAGTAACAGTAATCGAATTACTTTTTTGCAATAGACATTACTCATTGCTTGAAAAAAGTAATGTGATCACAGCCCATCTCTGCTAATGAGTAATAACAAGTAGCTTTCAATAGTCTGTTGAGGAGGTGATTGTAAAATGCTTTGTGGGAATCTTCAATTCAAGCACGATACGGCTCAAAACTTCCAGTAGTAGCTCTTTATCTTCCATTTAGAGCTGAATTTGTTCATTTGCCACATAGTAAAGAGTAAAATCATCTCAACACCCAAAAGCTGTGCTGTGCTAGAAAAGTTGGCATTGCAACAGCTGACCTTAAAAACAAGTTCATGTTTTTGAAGTTGTAGATTTTTCTGTGATTTTTTTTCACAGAAAACTTACCTAACATACCATACAGCCACACGCAAACAATGCAGTCTGCTGAGCCTTTAAGCAAATTTTCTAGTTATAGAAGTTAATAAGTCCTCATATTTAACATTTTTCTCATTAGTTGACACCTCAAACCAGTAAAACTTTTATGCAGCACATTCAGCATGGGCATCTAGATGAGAGAAATGATGAGAAATTGTCATGTTGACGTGGATATTACAGAATGTGTGGTGTTGGAAACTCTAAATGGTCCATATTCCCTGTGATTTGAAGATCAAACCTTTTATAGTTTGCCCGTTTTGGCTTGGTGCTATTTATAGTAGAGTGACAAAAGTGTAGTTACTGGCTTCTTGCTAGTTGGTCAGGATACTACACGTTACCACAATAGTTAGCACAGTTCCTCATTTAAGACGTACCATGTCCTGAGACAAAGTATAAGTGGCATTAACAGAAGTGGAAACAAATATTTAAGGGATACACATAAAATCTGAAGGAAAGGGAGGAATAGTCAAACTCCTTCACAGATGCAAACACAATAACTATACTTAGGTTTCAGTTCCTCAACTCCTCTTTTGTGTCTGCTGTATGTTCACAGAATTAGATGGAAGTCATATTATTATCAAAACTGAAATTTGAACAAGGCTGTGCTGTGTGAGACACTTGGACAGTGTTGTTGAGCTCTTAGTGACAGAGCCTCTGTGTTACTCTAACCAAGGCTGTTTGGCCAGCTGCCTTTTGAAAGCGTCACACTATTGAGGCAATGTTTAGCTGAGGAATGTTTTGTGCCAATTATTCACGGAGTTAAGATCTTTTCTGTTGCTCAGATTGAAATCCTTCTTGACATCATCCTCTTGCCAATTGTAAAGCCCCCTCCCCACTTTCTTCCCCTTTTGCCATTTCCAGAAAATAAACAGCATGCAGATTTTATCTGGGATTTTCATGGTTACCATTTTGTTAATGGCAGCCTGGCCTCTCGATGAGAGGAGGAACATTTTTGTGGGGCACGGTTTGGTTGTTGTAGCAACGTTGTTGAGGGCTGAATGAAGCAGATGTCAGAGTGATCTATCAGCCAGCAGCTCCACACTCCCACTGCTCACTGAGGAACAACGCTGCTGTGACACCCTCTGCACGGCACCACGGCTGTCAGTAACACCCACTTTGCTCCAAACTATCCTCACAGTAACCGCAAAGCTTGAAATATGTGCATTAAACATAAAATGAATTCCTGCTGATAATTCTGAGACATTAATTTACCCAAATAAACCATGACAAGAGCTGAGAAGCACGGTTTTACATGAAGTCACCCATGAACTCTGATACAGATCATTTTAATAACATGCGATTTTTGTAACTGAATCAAATCTCATGTGATGAAACTTGAACAAATCTAATTACACAATTTCCAGAAGCCAAATTTTATTTTAAATTGTTTTGCAAGTGAAATGTAGTTTCTCATAAAAAGATGGGAGTATGACATATTGAGCTCAAGAGTGATTTTCCTCAAGTAAAAATTGATTATGGTTGTGTGTTGTAATTATGTTGTTACCATCCAAAGTAAACTTAATACAAGCTGTGACATTGTGAAACAATCGTATACGCAGAAGCCTTGTTTTAACAAAGACTTGTTTTATTGGCGATGCTTTGGAAAAGAACCATTTTATCTATAATCGTATATTCTAAACTCAATGTCTCTGATTGGTGGAGTTACTATTACCATAGATGTTTAAACTTGTCGCAATCTGGTTCAGAAACCGTGTACAGCCATGAGTGTAGCACTGCACTATACCAGTACATAGACTGCACTTCACTCTACACACATCACAAACTATAAATATTTAAAACTTATTAGTATAAAATATTGTTCTGCAACACTATAGTAGCTAAAAAAATTAAATTCAAGAAGGCTGATTTAGGAAGGCTGGAAGCTGTGGAATTTGGAACTGGCAGCAGTTGTAATTTCTTTACTTTGAAAAGGTTTTTTACCTTTGACCTTTTTGTTTTTCTTTTTCTTTTTGATGCAGATCAAAATTCTTTTTATGGTCATGATTCACCTGATAGTTGGCTGGATACGTTCAAAACAGATTTTACACGGAGTTTCTGAAACTTCAATGGAGAAAATGAATAGGAATTTATAATATAACTTATAATGAAGCTGAACGATAACACAAAACTAGAATCTGTGCCACAGGCATTTCATAGTTGATTGATGTTGCATGCTAACAAAATCTGTGTTTGATTTATTTAGCTAAAGGGTTAGCTAAACAAGCTACCTAGCTAGGTAACTAAGGCATCAGTCACACAGGTCTTGGGGCCAGTAACCCCCTGACAACTTCTAGCTGCAAGTGGAAAAAGTCTAAGTAACCAACTGAGTGGTGAATGGTTGCCCGAGGTTGCTTGATATCACCATGTGAAATTGGTTGCAAAGAAAGTGCTGCACCAAAAACTTCCTTGTGATTGCTTTGGTCACTAGTAGACTGCCATGGTCTCCCATAGTTTGCATGATTTGTCTGCAAGCACTTACAAAACTTTAAACAATTGAGAAGGTATAGCTAAAACTAGAAGTGGAAAAGGTTATGCTAATACAAAAACGTCGAGAGCTTTTACTTTTAAGGTGAATAGTCTCCATTGGAGGTCTGTGTCACACTTTTTCTAGAGTAAATGATGAGTGTTTGAAGACAACTTAGTCTTCAATGTGACTACTAGTGACCATAGCAACCTGCTAGCAACCAAAGCAATGGTGAGGAGGCTTTCAGTGCAACACTGTATACGTCTTTTTGATCACGTTCGCCTTAGTGACTGCCAGCAACCTCTAGCATCCATTCACAACTGGTTGCAGTGTACGCATTTTCCCCTAACGACCAGTCAGGGAATCAGCGACCCTTATCTAGGCCTGCTTAATTAAGGAATAAAGAAGCTTGTAAAGTTCAGATAAGATGAAACTGTAATGGTTTTTTTTTTAATAATACAGACAAAAGAAACATTCATGGAACACCTATCCTGAAGGTAATATTAGCATTTTCCTGAACACACATTTCAGTGTAAAAGAATTATATTGTGCTAACAAGGATAAAGGCACATCTTTAAAACAGTGTTTCAGTGAATGATTTCATAGTTCAAAAAACCTCTGTACATTTGAATGGTTAACAGGTGCATCGAGGGAAAATTGCCACAACAATTTAAAGATAATTCATTCAACAACGATTAGCCATTGTACCATTTCCATCTGTGCGGATGTTTCTGTAGAGGAGAGTAGTTGTATATGTGTTATGATTAGCTTTGAAACATGTCAGACTAATGGTTTTTTATCTGAATAATGGCATATACACATGGGAAGTGTCATCCATTAAGTGATTATTATATGCAGTGGGGTGAAAAAAGTATTTGCCTCTTTCTTGACTTCTTAGTTTTCTGCATATTTGTCACATTTAAATGTTTCATACATTAAACAATATTAGACAAACAATTTTTAAGTTGTGTTTTAATTTATTGAGGGAAAGAAAAGGTTATCTAAACCTACCTTGCCTTGTGTGACAAGGTAATTGCCCCCTAAACCTAATAACTGGTTGTGCCACCCTTGGCTGTAAGAACTGCAATCAAGCATTTGCGATAACTGCCAATGAGTCTTTCGCATTACTGGGGAGGAATTTTGGCCCACTCTTTGTCATTGTCCTGCTTCATAACTCAAATGTGCTTGCAGTTCAGGGCATGAACTGATGGCCGGACATTATCCTTCAGGATTTTCTGGTAGAGAGCAGAATTCACACTGTTCCAGACCATCACACTACCACCACCCTGTCTGTCTGCTGGTATGATGCTACATTTATTTTTACACAAAAAGTAACAGAGCTCAAACAGAGTAATATTCCACAGGATATTTTCCCTACCCTAACCCAAGTCTTGGAGATCATCAGGGCATTTTTGGCAAATCTGAGACGTGCCTTGCCCAGTCTCTTTCTTATTGTTAAATCATTAACACTGACTTTTCACACAGAGTCAGATTTTTTTTTACCTATAATAAATCAAATCATAATTTTTCTTTGTCTAAGATTACAATTTGTTAGCTGACCCGAAACAAAATCTGAAAGTGGACAAATACTTTTTCACAGCAGTGTGTGTGTGTACCTGTTTAGATGTCTTTGTGGGGACCTAAAGTCGGAAGTTTACTTTACTTGTATACTTGGGGACCAAAATGCCCATCCCCAGAGGATTGAAGACTCAAAATGTGGTTTTAGTGTCAGGGTTACAGTATGGTTAGGTTTAGTGTAAAGGTTAGGGTTAGGCATTCATTTTTCATGGTTAGGGTAAGTGGTCAGGGAAAGCATTACGTCAATGAGATGTCCCCGCAAGGATATGAATACACACACACGTGTGTGTGTGTGTGTGTGTGTGTGTGTGTGCGTGTGCGTGTGCGTGTGTGTGTGAATATACAGACATACAATGTACCTCCTGAAGGTCAGTCAGACCAAAATGTTGTGACTAAATAAACGTGTTAGCAAGTGTGCAGGACTTATATTTAAATTGTAGTGGGTCATTTCCTGAAATCAGTAACACACACAGTTACTAACATAAAGGGAAAACACATCTTAAACAAAGATGGGAAATAAATAAAGAAATATTTATATAAAAATAAACTCTTACAAAATATTTTCTATTAACCAGCAACATGGGGATTTAGATCTGGAAGCTTGCATTTGCTCCTGGGGTTAACTACAAATGTGGCTGCTCGACCACACCTTTCCAGACAACTAGCAGCAAAGTGAAGAGGAAATGGGACAGAGAACAAGTAGAAAACAATACTATCATACTTGACCCATAATCAGTAGTTTAATGTTCTGCTGTAGTTTCCCAAATATTCACTATTGGTTAGTTCAGACTGTTTGAGTTTTTATATCCAGTGTTTAAGTCTTCAAAAAAAAGTAACAAAGAAAAACCTTAAGTGCCCGTTTCTTTTTTCTTTTCTAAAAACCGGAATCTACACCACCAAACCTTTACTAGATTTAGTTGCAGTGAATCTTCGAAATGATCAGTAGTTTTCTCATCAAATAAATTATTAGTCGATTAACAAAAGAAAAAGAAAATAAAATAAAAACCTGTTAGGCCTACTGTTTAAGGTGAGTCATGCCAGTAGACCAGTACGGCCTGTGAAAACGTTAAGCATGCAGCACAAAATGTCAATTTAAAACACAAAAAGAACATTTGTGAAGCTGATAGCTCAAGTCCAGTGTCGTGGCAGATGTCCATTGGCATCATTATAATCGACAAAGTTGAATGAAAAAGCTGTGATTGCTGTAACACAAGGGCAGCAAGGCAGTCTCTCCACAGATACTGAAACCCACGAACAACACAAAGGAATGTCCAGTAAACATATCTATTTACAGGTATACACTTCTGTCCTCTCACTGCACGTGTTGCACTTGACATAGCAGCACCACAGGAACTTGCAGTTGCACTGCCAAACACGCGAGTACTGATGTGTGTTGTATCCCCGACCACAGCACATCAGGTCACAGCTGTTGGGCTGCTGAGCTGTTTTGTTACACAGACGGCCCTGCGTCCCCATGCTTCCGGTCAGAGGGTCAGCCTCGCAGTAGTTGGGAGACCTCTCGATGTAGACTAGCTCCATGTCCTTGGGCTTGCGGTAGGAGTGTGGTTTCTTGATCTTCAGGAAGGCGGGGCGCTTGTTCCGCCTGGCGCGCACAGGCTCCACGTGAACAGCGTGGTTGTACTTGTCTTTGAGCATGTATCCCAGCTGACGGAATTTGGGGAGTGTCGTCCAACATGTCTTCGTGGTGCAGGATCCAGAAACCCCATGACACTTGCACTCTAGGTGCATGCTCTTCTCCAGGACCTATAGAGGAAAAGCTCAGATGAAGCAATCTTTTCAAACTTAAGCCATTGAAAAATTGTTATTTTATAACTAATGCATGCCTCCTGATAAAAGAAGTGTGCATAATTTTTGTCATCTTATACAATTTCGGTAGACTGTTTGTTGCTGTATTTCCATAATGAGTCGGTGGGGCGGGGGAGTCTAACGCTTCAACAGGTTGAGACAAACATTTTCTAGCATTCCAAATGAATACAAGCATTCCAGGGATCTCAGAGCTGCTACAGTATGTCAGTCTATAGCTACCAGCAATACATGTGCCATTTTTACGAGTCAGGATGAGCTTCAAAAGACAATCTTGAGTATCCGTAGTCGTTGAAATGAATTGAATTACAGTTTAGGAGTGGAACCTTTCAGTGTATTTGTTACTACAGCCAGGGGACTCTGTCTGTGCTTCTGGCTGAATGACATCAACTTACCCTTCTTCCTCCTCACTGAGTGGGAACCCTTGCATGCATTAGAGAAGCCTCACCCTGCTTTTTAATTATTCTACTCTGATGTGGCCTCAGACTTTCTGGAGTCTCGTGGGGTAATTGTCAAAAGCCTTGGATGCATACAGCTTAGTGTGGTCATGCCCCCGAGACCCGGCAAACATTTAATTCATGGAGTTCAGTGAAGTGAAATCCCAGTGAAGATGCCATTGTTTGTCTAACAGAAGCCCCGTAAGCCTCCTGTGGCACCTTTTACACTCTTGTTTATTCTTCTCAAGAAATTGGAAGGTTGGCACTCAAGTCACACAGACTGACATTATCTCCAATTAAACATGAAAGCTTTCCTACAATAATTACAGAGGTATCAGTTTAGTAAGTGTATATTAAGAGATCCACGCACTGTATCACATTGTGACTGATGTCAGGCCTAAAATATGAAGCCTCATCCCGAGAGACTTCGCACAGCCTTCTGCAAACAACATTTTAGATGCATTCCTCTAAAGTAAAGCTGTGCACACACAGAAATTTTGACAAAGATTTGCTTAGATTTTTCATTTGATGCATGTAAGGTAAGGGTCTGCAGGAACTGCTATTTCTGTCTTTAATACATAGAAATTAGGTTTTCATCAACTCTATACACATCCTAAAATAATCTCATCTCATGGTCAGTTACATGATCTGATGCATGTCATTGAACAGAAACGAATATTTGATTCAGTTGAACTGCATAAAAGACTGAGCAGGATTTCCTTTTTATTTTTGTTTGACTACAATTAACTTTCTTCATATCTCTTCATCTATTAGCTTTTAATACTATTCTAGTACCAAAATGCCATTAAACTGCAAGAAAAAAAAAAGTTTGAAGCTAAATAGGTCCTGATACATTTTTAATTTGCCTGTGTGTCCAACCACAGGTCTAAAATCAACTACACTAGAGAAATCTCAAGAGCATCCTCCATAATGATGCATTTGCACAATGTTGTGGTCATTATAAAACCTTAGCTTGTTGAAAATGCAAATATTTCCTAAACATCTTGGAGTTCGTATTACCGGTTTCAGAAAAGTTAGAGATTAAATAAAGGAGCATATATTTTATCTTGACAAAATTTCAATGACCATCCATGTGTGGACATAGTCAGGGCATAACAAAATTCAGTAGGATTTATTCTGGCTGAACCATCAGCATTTATATAAAAAATTAATGCAGGCTATTCAACAGTTGAGATACCAGAGCAAGCAGCAACCTCTCAGGCTGAATAGTAAGGCCAGCGTTGAACTAATGTTCCTTGAAATTCTTCAAAGGTCAATCAGTCTCCAAAGACTTGAAATGCCCAAATTTTCAACAGAATAATTACATCCGCCAAACCATCAACCTGTCTATTAGATCCCATTACTACTGTTCAAAGAAGCTCTACCATTTATTAATGCTTCAGTCTTTATCTGTCTTAATGGACTATGTAGTGCAGGCTTTAATTAAACCACTACGTAAAAAGTCATCACTTTAAACAGCTGTCTTAGTTAATAGTATACTAATATCCACTCATTTCTATGGTTGACATGTCAGCCTTCAATAACACTGACCACAATATTGTATTAGAGAGATTAGAGCATAAACATAGGTATCAAAAGTACTGTGATGCAGTGGTTTGAATAATGTCTAATAGACTACAATTTCTTCATATAAATGTGGAGTCTTCTTCATACATTAACTTAATTATGGAGTTCCACAGGGTTCTGTGCTAGGACTCATTCAGTTTACATTATACATGCTTCCCTTAGGCAGTGTTATTAGAACAGCATAGCTACTTTTTCATTGTTATGCAGATGATGCCCAGCTTTATCTACCCATCTAGTTAAACTACAGACATGTCTTAAAAACATAAAGACCTGGATGACCTCTGATTTCTTGCATCTAAATATAAACGGAAGTTATTGTGCTTTGCATTAAAAATCTCAGAAACATATTGTCTAAACAGAGACATATTCTGATGGCATTACCCTGGGCTCCAGTAACACTGTGAGGAATCTCTGAGTCATTTTTGACCAGACTATGTCCTCCATTGTGCAACAAACAAATATTTAGGACTGCTTACAGCATGCTGTAGTGAGAATACTGACACTGATATTTCTCCAATATTAGGATCTGTTCACTAGCAAAACTGAATTTAAAATCGCCTTCCTCAAAAGAAAGGTCTTGAATAATCTGGCACTACCTATTCTATCAATAGAGCTCCTTGCTTCAGATCGCTGGTTTAATTGTGGTTTCTAGAGTTTTCCTAAATAGAGTGGGAGGCAGAGCCTCCAGCTTTCAGGCCCTTCTGTGAAACCAGCTCCCAATTTGCATTTTGGAGACAGGCACCCCCTCTACTTTTAAGATTAGGCTAAAACGTTCCTTTTGAATAAAGCTTATAGTTAGGGCTAGACCCTGAATCACCCCTTAGTTGCTGTTGCTTAGCTGTATAAACACTCTCAATGTGCTTCTACGCAACTATTGTGTTTAATCATTAGTTATCTGGCTCTCTTCCACAGTGTGTCTTTTGTCCTATCTTCTCCCCCAACACACCAGAAGGCTCGCCTCCCTTAGCCTGGTTCTACAGGAGGTTTCTTTGTGTTGAAAGGAGTTTTTCTTTCCCGCTGTCTCCAAGTGCAGTGTCATAGGAGGTCATCTGAATGTGTAATCAATACAGTAAAATTGAATTAAATTGAAATAAGCATGCTCACAGCCTTAAACAAAAACATTTATCTTACTCTATAACTATTATTTACTAATTTACTTCATAAGCGCTGTACTGGAGACAATTTTAAGTATAAGTTTAATTTAAACAGGCACTCAGCAGGCACTGCCCTAATTTGTTCATCATTTATGGTGCTATAGAACAGTGCTTTTGATGCAGATGAACACAATTCATGGTATAGCGTCTAGCAAGTGCTACTGAATAGGTGTGAGCATAAAAGGAGAAACATTAACATCAAATACAATGTTTCCATCACCTCAACGAACACACAAAATGTTGTGTGCAGGTTGTCCCACAGTGCATCTGCTAGCTAAAAGTATGGCTGCTTTATTTCCAAGGAAAAGAATACAGTGCAAGATAACTTCACTCAGAGATGGAGGAAGAAACGAAGCTTATGTTTAAAGGTAAGGATTCTTCAGTGGCATTTGATAAAAATGGAAATATTAAGCTTACAAGTTCTCTTTTTTAAAATCAGATTTCAGGTCTGACATGATGTAATGGTTTTCTATATTTGTCTGGCCCAACAAGAAATAATCAAAGACCCTGATCTATAAAGTGTTCAACAAAGCCCAGCAGGATTCTCCCATTTCAGTGCAGCTAGCCAACAGTGAAGAAGCTTACTTACTTACTTTCCAATTAATAATTGTTTCTGTCACTAGTTAGCTAACATAAACTGGTGTAGCAGTATTAGTAGTAACCAACCAACCTACTGACAGCAATTTCTTGTTTTCTAGATACTTGTTGTTAAACTCTGTCTCTCTTCCACAGCATGTCTTTTATCCTGTCTTCCTTCTCTCTCCCTAACCGGTCGCAGCAGATGGCCCCGCCCCTCCCTGAGCCTGGTTCTGCTGGAGGTTTCTTCCTGTTAAAAGGGAGTTTTTCCTTCCCACTGTCGCCAAAGTGCTTGCTCATAGGGGGTCATATGATTGTTGGGTTTTCTCTGTATGGATTATTGTAGGGTCTACCTTACAATATAAAGCACCTTGAAGTGACTGTCGTTGTTATTTGCACTGTATAAATATTGAAAATTGAATTGAATTGTCCGTACTTGACAAGATGGCACTACACATGCTCTAAACACCATAAAATTTTTTAAATCTAGCTTCATGGACAGTGTTAAATCTGTGACATTGTTTTTAGAGTTGGACTCCGTGGTGTAAATTAAGGTTAAAGCATGCAGACTTTCATGTCCACTTTAATAGTAGGAGCAGGATGTGCCTTTGATGCCTTCCAGTGGTTTTTCAATGGACTGTTTTCTTGTGGTTCAGTTTTGAGGACAGTCTTTTCTATTGATCAGTCGGTCGTCTGGCTCCTTACTGCTGTCTGCTGCTAATGATATCAGCATCGGGGTAATGCTCTTCCATATCAAAAAAGCAGTTCGAATCATCCACAGAGCAGGTTATAGGAACATACAAACTCACAATTTTGCAGTCTGAAATATTGAAAATTGCCGAACTAGTGAAATTCCAAACAGCACAAATTCTATTCAAAGCAAAAACTAAAGAACTGCCAGGTAATATTCAGAGTATGTTTTTTTGAAAGAAGGAAGTTACAATTTAAGGGGTTTTTGTAACTTCAAAACAGGGAAGGTACGTACTACAAGAAAAAGCTTTTGTGTTTCTGTGCATGGAGTGAAACTGTGGAACAGTTTGAATACGGAATTAAAGCAACGTCCAAACATAAAACAGTTCAAAAAGAGTTAAAAAATATGATCTTCTCGAACTATAAAGAAAGGGAAAATATTGAAATTAAGTGAATGTCTCTATTTAAAAAATTTCATGATGTGATTTTATATCAGAAATCTGTTCACTGTTTTATTACAGATTATATCAGTAAGAAAGATGACAAAATATTAACTGCTAACTTCTGGCAAAGGGGTGGGATTAAATAAGTGTGTAATTCTTCCCACTCCCTTTCAACATGTAAATGAATCAGGACGGTAGCTATGTTGAAATGTATTGACTTTTGTATAGTATTTTTTTCTCTCTCTCTTATTTTCTTTACTAAATGTACCTGTATATTGTTTACATGTTTGAAATAAATTAACAATAATAATAATAATAATAATAATAATATGGTCGTCTTGGGTTTACCCTAATTTGTTTCTTTGAAAACACTATTACTTCATGAGTTCGTGTTCTCAAAATGATATTTGCACTAGTTTTGCAATGACCACACGATGCCCTCAGTGGCTCCTGATAATGAAATTTCTATGTAAAAAAAACAACCGTTTTTTACCTTCATGTTGATATGAGCCATTAAGATTTTAACAAAGACTAAACAGTAGGAACCAGTACTATATTTTACAGTGGGGCAGGTTGTCCATTCATTGAAATGTTGTGTTGTTATCCTCCACTTTGCATGTTAAAGTGTCCAAGATAGAAATAACCCTCGATGCAGATGTGTGTGACAGATAAATTTGTGTATGCATGGAAGGAAAGTACTGTATGGGTAAATAAGGGGATGAGGTTCACCATTTTTAATGCCAAACCGTTAATTCTATTTCTAAGATGAATGTGTTTGTAGAGCTCACTGAAGCTTACGACAGAAAACCAATAAAGATTAAAGAAATAATCATTAAAACCCTTGTTTCCATGAGAACATTCTGGTGTTTTGGACACAGTGTTAAAAACACAATAGATAACAACAGATTTCAGTTTTAAGCAGATGTCAAACTGCTTTCACAGTTTTGGGAGACCTCTGTGCGCCGCTTGCAGGTAACACAAATGAAGGTAATAGAACTCAAAATGTGGGCAAAACAGCATTTTCTCCATAGACATTATATTGGAAAATTCACATGAAGAATGTAGAACATGCAAAAAGAAGACAGGTATGTGCCTTGTTGAGCAATCATTATTAAACTGAGTGGGTGCTATCTTTGACTCAAGTATACTCAAACAACTAAAACTTGCTGCTCTCGCTGCTGTGGGTATAACAAATTCTAACATTTACCTCATCCACCACTCTGTGTGCAACTGTTGTTTGAGTTTCATCACTTTCAGATACTTTCTCTGATTTTTTTTCTCCAGTTTAATCAGAGAAAAAAGTCAAAAAAAGTCTCATTTACAGTTTCCCTAATAAAGCCCACATTGTTGTTTCTTCTTGCTATTCTTCTTGTTTAATTGGCAAAGTTACATTTTCTCTGTACACACTACAACACCATGTTAGCATTTTCAGATTTTTGTCTTTTTAACAAAGAACTACAAACTCTAAACTGCCTGTAGGTGCGGATATGGACGCGTTTGCCTAATTACATGTGTTGGTTGTAAAGAGTGCTGGATCTGATATCAGTTATAGTGTGAGCAATCCACATTACAACTGTTAGTAGTTACATTACAATCAAGCCATGCTGCTGAATCAGGTTTCAGTGCTGCTGTCAACACTGATCTCAGGTTGCTTCGCTTAAAAGCTGAACCCCATGAGATCCATGCAGGGAGTGACACAAACTTTAAACTTAACATCAGTTGGCCTGAGGTATTAGGGGAGCAAATGTGGGCTGTTTGAAATCGGATTGCCTGCAGACTGCTGTCATGTCCAGGCTGTACCCCATTAACAGCATGTGAGACGGTGTGTATGTCATTTCTGATTTGCCTACATTGTCTTGCACATTGTGATATACCGTTTGCATGGCTTTATTACAACCGTGCATGAAGCTCTGTCAGAACGCTTGCCGTCAGGTGGTGACGATGTATAAACCTACCTTGCGTCCCACTTCATTGTTGTGTAAATTCATGAGTGTCCTGGCGCTCTGCTTGATCTCCCGCGCATCCACAAACACCTTGGAGAAACTCAGTCCATAGTGGATGTCCGCAGAACAGCCACCCCACTTCCAGCCCTCCTGCTGGTTGTAGAAACCCTGTTTCTCCTTGTCACAACCGCAGCCACTCAGGCTCCCCTGGGTGCAGGCCGCTGTGACTGCATGGGCGACCCCTGCGGCTATGATAGCGTAGGTGAAAGCAGCCTCCTTACTGCCTGCGATAAAGAGGAAAGACATTTCTAATCACTATCACAGACAACAGGATTCACTATTTCAGGCACTGTCAAACCTCCTTACATACCTTTCATAGTTGCCTCAAACCAAATCATGAAATACACAAGCCGAGCCAAGTCCCCTTCATTAATCAAGCTCTCTTTAAGCAGATAAACTTCAGCAGGAAGCGTACCTCTAACAGCTCTAATAGTGAACACCTTTAATAAAGGAAGGTATTTTCAAGCAACTTGTATTGAATGTGTAATGAAGTATGGTTAGGTGGGATACTACTGTAAGTGCAGGAGTAATTACACTAATTCACTGATCAGATGAGCATAATGAAACAGTAGAGGCAGATCAGAGATTAAAAGCTCAGGCATCGGCTTTGGCCCTTGTCCCAGCCGCCATCTCTCCAGGATCCACCCTGCGGAGGGGAATCTGAGAGGCATGCACAACCTCCCTACGTGGATGGATTTCCACTCCATAAATCCAAGTTCTTCAGCTGTAGTTTTTTAATTAAAGGCGGAGATCATTTCTGAGCACATGGGAAAGCATCCAGAAATGGCCAATAAAGTCATCATATTCAACTACTAACTTCTTAACCTCTGCCAGGTGACCCGTCCCAGGTTAGGGGTATTATTTAGAGGCATTTTGACCTATATGGGACAAGCAGATGGGATACCTTTAAAAGAAAATCACTATATGTAGTGATGTAATGTATGAGACTTTATTTGAAAGGTAACATTTTGTCCCAGAACAACCCAACAACCCAACTCTCATCAGGAGCTGGGTTTTGCTTCTGTCATATTGTAACACTTGTCTAACTGTAACCACTTCTCCTTCTGCGATACCTTTCTGCAGTTCTAATGCTTAATTCTAGCTCTAACAAGTCAGTTTCAGTGCCTCACCCTAACATGTAGTTTAACTTAAAGCTGATCCTCGTCGCCCTAACCCTAGTCACTTGTTTTATGTAAATAAAACTGTGTAGTAGATCTTGTCTGCCTCGTTCTGATGTTCATTTCAGGGTTCCTGTTTTGTTTTCTTTCCACTGAAGCCCTGAGTGACATTTGCCAGCACATTCGTTGTCATTGACTCTACTCCAGGTTTAACTTGGTTGATTTTCCTAACCACATACTTGTCCCCCTGGACCTGTCCCAAATGAGCTAGTGGATGTTAAGAGATTGAACTGCCACAGAGACTTTTCCGACATTGCACAGCTTGTCTTTATATGCACACACACACACACACACTTCTGTGCAGCTGTTGAAGCTTGCTGGAGCACATGCACAATGAGTCCTGATTCTCACTATCAGTCTAGGACCATCTCAAAGTAGATGGGACATCACAGAAAGCAACATCCTGGCTTTACATTTGTGATCTAGAGATATTTTCTTCTGTCCATCTTTTAGATCTTTGTTAAAGTCCTTCATTTTTTTAACAGCTTGATTGAGCAGAAGCCCGTACTCACTCTCTACATCAAGCAGCCAACTTGGTGGGTGGGGAGGATGCTTGAATCTAATGCCAAACTACTGTACCCTCCTGCATTGCTGCCAACAATGATCCCAAATTGGTGTATTCTGTCAGTTATCAGCATTCCAGCTCACTGAAACAAAACAATAGATTCACATAGACAAGGTGTTGGGGAGCCGGACCCAAGCAGCCTTTTGCAGTTGTGCTTTTCTGAAAAGATCTGCACTCATCTTTACTCACTGACTTTAATCTGATGATAAAGAGTGCTGCTCTGCCCTGAAGCACTGAACTAAAAATCATTCTACATACAGCGTCTTTTGCCAAAGCTGCAGAACCGGGAGGTAAATTTGTAAACCTAGAAGTAAGTACTTGTCTGAACTTGAAGCTTTGGGAGGTGTGGGTGGGGGAGAGGGGTGTATTTTATGAACATACATGAAGGCAGTCGCACTGACAGTGGATAAAAAAAGAAGAAGAGAGCATGTAGGTATGTGTATCTTGCAGCCGTCAAATGCATCACATTAAATAAGTGGTCAAACAAAATGGGTTGGTGCACTCATTCAAACCAGTATGTCATGCACAACGCAGCAACCACAGCTCAGCGTGAGCTATAATACACACAACATGAAAAACGACACCCTCAGCTCTCCATCTGAGATGACAGGCTGAACTTAAAGGACAGGACAGCAGAATACCGGCCTGTTAAAAACTCATTTATCCACAGTGCTGTCTCTGGATCGAGCATCGCCTCCAGCTTTGTTCCACACACAGGATCAAATCAGGGGCTTATTTTCCCACTGAGAGCAGACGCAGTGCGCCTGGGCTTCAAACTTACAGACATCTGTCCAAGTGTCAGAGTTCGAGTACCTCGGAGGAATGTCTCCTCCAAATGTTTTTGGAGAATTAAAAGCAATTTTGAACAATCAGTATCCAGCTTACTTCCCCTGTATCTGCTAGAATGATACTGGAAATGTACTAAAGATAACACACAAGCTAAAGAAAATATTGTGTAATAATTATTTTATTAGTTGACATTTATTCACATATCTGTTTTAAAGGGTTCTCACTATGTAAATGGACTGGTTCTTATATTGTGCCTTTCTACTTGAGCACTCTATAAATGACATTCGCACTCAGATGGAGACATCAGGAGCAACTTGTGGATACTTTAACACACAGACAGGAGGAGCCAGGGATCGAACCACCAACCTTCCAAACAGCAGATGACCTGCTCTACCTCCGGCGCTAAAGCCGACCACAAAAGAACAAAGCTTACAGACATGTAAACTTGTTGTTTAATTATCATGCTAAAATCTCTGGTGCAAGTTCACAACAGCAACAGCCTCCAGGCACTTTAAATGTTCAGGTAAGTCTCTACAATAATAGAGAGAGAACCTCAACATTCAAGCAATTCCCTGTGAGGAAGAACTCCAGTAGAACCAGGCTCACAATAGAACCAGGCTCACAGAGGGGGAGTCATCTGCCACCAGCAATTTTTTTATTTTTTGGGGGGGGGGGGGGGGGGGGGGGGATGAATAGAAAGAGAGAAAACCCCAACTTGATCGCCCTGTGAGAAGCACTTGGTGACAGGTGGGAGGAAGAACTCCCTTTTGACAGAAAGACACTTCTGGGCGAGAGGCAGCCACCTGTCTTGATCGACAGAGGGGAAAGAGAAGACAAAAGTGGGGCTCAGAGACACAAACATTTATTTCAATATCTGCAGAAAATCTTAACATTAATGTGATGTTAATAATAATAATAGTGACAAACTATTTCTACTAAAAGTCCACCTGAACCAGGTGACAAGAGAGATGGAACCCTTTAAAGCAGGCAAAGATCAATTATTTTTACAGAAGTGCTTTAGGAAATTAGAATATGAGTATTATTCAGATATAGATACAACATTCAGTAGTGTTATGATGGCATTATAATTATATTTAGTATTATTCTATTTATATGCCACTGAAAGACAAAAGCCAACCGCCCCCCTGAATCAGCCTCTACTCCTAAACTGAGCGCGTCACTGAGGTACAGCGTGTACAACTACATACCCACTCTGAGTTCTTTCCCGAACACGGTCCTCTCCCCCAGGGCTGAGCAGTTCCAGCGGCCGTGCCTGAACTGAAACTGACACTCATTGATTCCCATCTGAACTCCTTCCCCGATCACTATGATCGCGTCGGGTCGACTCTGACAGATAGTCCTCTGACGCGGGGCCAAGCCGGGGATCTTGTTACAGATGATGCTCGCTCCCAGCGCCACCACCGACGACAGCCCCCTGCGATGAAGGTGACAGGTTAGAAATGTGGCGTTTCCCTTCTGCGGCTCTTTCTGAGAACACCACGTGTGAGTGGATGCAGGGGGGGCAGGTGCGTGGGATTCTGTAACAACACATGTACAAACTGAAACCATAAAAGACCCCAGCACCCAGCAGACCCCGGTGTGTGTGTGTGTCTGGAGAATCTCCCTTTTGATCTGAGACACGAACAACAGAACAAATACACCTGAGCACTCACCCGATTTTCAGATACACTATCCCGAGGCACAGGAAAAAATGGAAAATCCAGCGCCGCGTATTCCTGTTCATGGTACTCAGCCCTGCCGGTGGATGAACGCTCCGCTGTTGCAACAACACCCAGCTTTACTCCTCCTGCTGAGTCCCGCAGGCTCTCCAGGTGTTCAGAGCCCCGCGCGTAAATATACGATAAGTCCAGAGTGTGTGGAAGTAAACGCGCCCTGCTCTCATCTGGTGACAGTGCGCTGGAGGTGGCAGCCTGCAGGGGAGCATTGGGGCTGTTGTGTACAGGTAAGGTAGCTCGGCTCCTCGGTGATCAGGCTCAGTGTGAGTGTGTTTGTGTGCGTCTCTCTCTCGCCGTGGGTGTGTGTGTCTACCTTTTCTACTAGGGCGTGTTCTGTGGAAGATCTGCCTCCGAGCCGCTCACACACGCTCTCACACAGCCTGCAGGTACACGCTGCGGCTCCCGCAGACCCGTGTGGTAAACACGCGGAGCCGTCACGTCCTTACACTCACACGCGGCGGCTCAACCTAAACCACAGGTCACCCGCGACACCGCAGACTGGCAGCCGGCCGGGCACCGTTACTTTATATTTAGCAGTAAAATAAAAGCCCCTCCCACCGACACACACACACACACACACACCTCAGCCCAAATGAACGGATTACGGGGCTCACTCTGTCAGACTTATATATATATATATATAGTATTTATATTCCTTTGTCATCTTTAGCTGTGCGTAATATGTGTGCGTGTCTTTGCGGTCATTTTGTGTTTTTGTAGTTGATTGTGTGTCTTGGTAGTCATTTTTTTGCACCTGCAGTTATTTAGTGTCACTGTGGACATTTTGAGTCTCTTTAAAGGTTTTTGTCTCTTGGCAGTAGTGTTTTTATTATTATTATTATTATTACGTTAGGGTTTTTGTTTGTCTGTCTTGTTTTGGAGCTATTTGTAGTCATGTTGTGTGTTTTCCAAGATGCTGTATCTAGTTGTAGTTGTTTTATGTGTACAGTCATTTTAGACTTGTGATGTCATTTGTGTCTTTGTGCTCATTTTGAGTCATTTTGTAGGGTTTTTTGCGTCTTTATCTGAAGTCAAACGGCATCATCTTACAATCATAATATGAATATGAATGATTGAAAACGATATGAAATTATGTTTGTATTTTGTAGCCGTTTTGCATGTTTGAATTTCTTTTCATCTGTTGTGTTTTCGTTGTGTCTTTTTTTGCAGTTTCTCACTTTGTTCTTTGTCGTTGCTCACATTTTGTTGAGCTGGTTTTGCGTTTTTTAGACCCCAATTCTCAGTCAGTCAGCTGTCAGTGTCTTTATTACATTATGAACAGTTTTGCGGCAAATGTATTTACATGAGTATTTCAGGTCCGTGTGCAACTTTTAATTCATTAAAGCTGAAAGGTAAATATTTTGACTGAACATTATTTTAACATTGGTCATTAATAGAGACTGCTAAAGAGCAGTCAGTCCCCCTTGAGTCAGTGCTACACAGCCAAGGACCCCCGAATGAATTTCATTACTTTAGTTATTTACTTGAATTAAGTGCTTAGGCTCAGTATAACAGTGGTTTTAGGATGTTATTTTCCCCCCAGTTTTAAAATTTGTGGTACTATAAGTACTGGATTTCTTTGGGGGAAAAAAATCCATACAAAGCCAGAAATTCATTAGATGGCACACATATCTGTTCATCAGTTAAACCTTCAATTATTTTCATTGCACAAGCGGATAAATAGTGGATACAATGTAAATATGAGTCTGAGGTGTTAAAGTGAGATTGTTAAACTGTGAGCATGTAACGTTCTGCACAGTAAGGTTCAAACATCAAGAACACTTTTCTGAGTACCGAGGAACTTTATATTTGAACGTTTGTCATTTTGGATGCTTGTAACAGCGCATTTATATTATGTGTTTTCGAGGCTGCTTTTACTTAGTAAATAAGCAGAGAATTTTACCCACCAGAGAATAATGGAGCATTTGAGTTGAAGTCTGATCGTCAAACTAAATATTTTGAAACAGTTAAAAAGCAAATTCAGTTGGAAATTCAAACTTCAAAACTGGAAAAAAAAAAGATTTAAATAAAAAGTCTTTGGCTTGTCGTGCAGTTTCTGTGTCATGGGGGAAAAACAAGCCTAGAAACATAACTTAAGCCATAAAATGTTTTATTTGTTTAAAAACTGTCATTACAAGCACATCTGGTGTGGAGCCGTCAAAGCGCTCTAGCGCCATCTGCTGGCACACATGTGAACCTAACATTGAACAAAAAGCTGTTTTCGCACTTCTACCTCCAAGTAAACAACAGCACACACAATGGTGGGAAATGCTGCCTTCATCGTTAGTGTGCAGAGATTTCCTAACTACAGACACGTAACAAAGAAAAAACCCAAAACACTACCCTACACCCTCAAGAAACTTGAAGAGAAAACTTTGAGTAAAATTCAACTGAAATGTGCAAAATGATAAAATCAAATATTTATTTATTCAGATAATTAATCATTAAGGAAATGTGTTTGCTATAAACTGAATGTGCATCAACCAACTAAGTCTCATCTGACCAGATGAGATTTTTTATTGACTGTACAGTAAACAGAACCAGTGGCTGTGTTATGCTGTGTGTGTGATTATATTTTTAGGGCAGTAGTGCTCAGTAAATGGTTTGAACAGCACAACAGTCATTCTAATCAGATTGTTTGGGCTTCCAAGTCACCAGATCTTAACCCAGCTGAAGAATTATGGACATTTTGCACAGAATTCTCCATCATCACAACTCCAAATAGCAGAAATATTTTGGAATAATGATGCCAAGATGCACCCTATCCCCAAATCTAAAAGGGATCCTTGGATTTCCATTAAAAGAAGCTGGAGTCAGCACATCACTGCAAAACTGGGGAAAAGATAGGACGGGGGAAACGCTTCAGCAGGAATTTGCACAAAGTGTAAAAGAAGCGTAGGTTAACTGGCGAATCTAAATTGCTCTTAGGTGTCAATGTGAGTGTGAATGGCTGCCTGCCTGTGTTAGCCCTGCGACAGACTGGCGACCTGTCCAAGGTGTAGGGCCTCTCGCCCTGTGGTAGGTGGGAGAGGCTCTAGGCCCTCCCTGTCACTGAAACTGCAGGTGAAGTGTTTTTTCCCCTTTTGTCTTTTAAATATTACCTTAAGGACCTTTAGATTAGTTCCTTCATGTACATTCATAGCACAGCACTCCACTTTGTTTTAATTACTGGGTCAGATTTTATTGGGAAGCTCAAGAAACACAAACAAAACAAAGTTACGAATTTATACATCAATCCACAGTCCAGCGTCCAACATATCAGAGCGTATTAAAAAGAAGCAACAGGGAAAAAAAAAAACGTATCCGGAAAACAGATCCCTTTTATAGGTGTGGAAATACAGTCCTAGTTCATCATTCTGCTGCTCAGGTCACAAACAATACAGATACACAACACTGTTCAACATTATTATCATTTTTTAAAGTCAGTTTTGTCAGCTCTGTAATACATTAAGGACATACACAGGACAGAACCCAAACTGCAGTCTGCAACAAGAAATGAACCAAGAATAAAAACAGAGTTATAAGAACATAAGGAATACGAGGTGTTAACATAAATATGAGTATATATGTTAACACCTCATAAATACAATAACACAAAAACTCTTACATTATGAAAATTATTCCACAGATGAAGGAGAGCTTGAGAGAGTCCACTCTTCAGGGAAGGCAATAGATTGTATAGTTATCTCCTAAAGAGGGCAAAATCACTATCCTAAAACTACACAATCTACTACCTCACACTGGACGAGCAGCAGAATACAGAGCAACATCTGAATCCACGAACACACCGCTGAGGGAGAAGACCTCCGGAATCCACACAGGGACCATTGAGATGTCTGCTTGGCACTTTGGGAAAGACAGTAGGTTGAATAGTTATCTCCCAGTGTGGGTATGACCCTAAAACTATACAACCTACTACCTCATCCCACTGTGCACATGCTGTTGGCTTTAACAACGACCCGACTGATCCCAGAGATGTGAAGCAGTGAAGCCTGTGGAGACAGAGAGCACGGTGAGGAGACAAACACCAGAGGCTGCAGTGAAAGAAAGCCGGGTATACCATCTGCCCACTGAACTGCAAGTGTCCTGCGCAGCTGGACGGTGGCTCTACATCTGCCTGCCTGTTCATGGTGCCACATGTGACCACATCACAACGTTCAGATTGGATTCAAATGCACAGCTTAGTAACCTTTAACAGAAGGTAATGTTTCAGTACCTTCCCTCGAGCTGAGTGCTGAATTGGCATCAATGTGAACACTTGCAGGACATCCACCTGCAGACCAAGTCCACTGAGCCAACAAACAGACTCCAAAATGCAGAGTTTTGTGAACAATGACAGTCACCAACAGACTGATAAAGATAACACAAAACACAGAGTGAACCATTCCATCATTATACTGGACCAAAAACTGAGGTCACACTGTAGCCCAGGGGGGGCAATCTCAGTCCATGAGGGCCGGAGTCCTGCAGGCTTTAGATGTGTCCTTGATCCGACACAGCTGATTTAAATGGCTAAATGACCTCCTCCACATCTCTTGAAGTTCTCCAGAGGCCTGTTAATGAACTAATCACTGACCCAGGGTGAGATCTAAAACCTGCAGGACACCAGCCCTCGTGGACTGAGATTGCCCACCCCTGCTGTAGCCTATCCAGAACACTTCATGTAGATCAGGGGTGGGCAACTGCAGGCCTCAAGGGCCGGTGTCCTGCAGGTTTTAGATCTCACCCGGGGTCAGCACACCTGAATCACATGATTGGTTCATTAACAGGCCTCTGGAGAACTTCAAGAGATGTGGAGGAGGTCATTTAGCCATTTAAATCAGCTGTGTCAGATCAAGGACATCTAAAGCCTGCAGGACAAGGCCTTGAGGCCTGGAGTTCCCCACCTCTGATGTAGATGGAGACTGCAAACTAACATGGTGGAGGTCAAGCTGTGCCAACACACCATTTGGTTAATTTCAGTCCCTGCTTGTTTATAATAACAATCAACTGTTCATTATGGGATGTTGCCACAACATTCCAGGGGGAGCCTGTACTCTGTGAGTAAACGGACAGGAGTTCTGAACTTGCTCGCACTGTACATTTCAACTGACCAGCCACCACACAGAGCTCACACTGAATGCAGGGCTGAGGATACACGAGTTAAAAATTTGAAAGAGAGACAAAAAGTTGATGAGGTATCTACGCCGACAGGCTGATCTGTTTAATTCATTTCTGTTTTTCTTCAGCAGCAGCAGACCAGTTGTTAGTGGAAGAGCTAACACAGAAAGCTAACAGCAAACGTTCATGTTACACCTGTGACAATAACCTTTCTGTGGACCTCTGCAAATAACATTCTGAGTCTCTGCTGCAGAGCGAGGACTGCAGCTTCACCAACACTGGTACTGGGTTAGAACTGGGTAATCAGTAGATACAAATGCCAGTGTGTTATCCCAATGCAAGACCCCAGTCAGCTTCTTTGATGATAATTCCAATAAAGTT